AGATAATTTCATGCAAGTTTTGTTAAAATTCATACGGTAGTTCATAAGATATTTTAAAAAACGGACAGATTGAACTACAATTGTTAATACCGAGGATGCAAACGCTGATCTTGTTGAAGCTGTTTAGGTTATGGGTTGGTGATCAGTTTCAACTATAGCGCCATATCAAATTTTAGTTCAATATCTGTCAAATTTAAAGGGTTAAAGCTATTTGTAGTTTGCCAAGATCGTTTTGCTGTGGCAGCCATCTTGATTTGAGTTGACTCCTACAAGTAAACGGTTGCAGCAGGTAAGGCAAAAACATTTTTGCTCTGGCTTCACCTTCTGTGGTGGGTGGTAGTAAAATGCATGCATGATTGAGTGTTTGCAATCTTCCCTGTCCTGATGTTTTCGGGGTCATTCAGTGCAACATCTGTGCACAACACACTGACCTCTGCATCCTTTCACCAGCTGAGGTATCTGTCTGCCTATCTCCTGCTCACAGTTCATTGTGTCATTTCAGGCTTGTCTGAATGCACTGCAGAATTTTGCAAATCGGCTCTTTTGGTCTTCAGCAGATCAGATGCAATTATCCTCAGCAGCCTGCTGCCCAGCTGACGGTTTGTCTGCTTCCTCGGGCACGGCTCATCAGGCTGACAGAAGCCCCTATACAAATCTGACCCCGGTGACTTTTTAAGCCTTTTCATTTTCATCACAACTTTCAAAACAAAACTCTGTCAATCAAGAAACCTGCCAGCTACTGTATAACATTTTTAATACATCTCTTAATAAATGCTTCACATGTTAGTCAGTTTTGTTGTTGTCTGCCTTCTGCAACATTGTTTAATTAAACCTGTACAAATTTTATGCATTAGATTTGGTATTTTTTTATCAAATATACCGTATTTTCCAGCGTATAATTTGATCCGGAGTATAAGTCGCATCAGTCCAAATAAGCATCATGAAGAGGAAAAAAATATATTTAAGTTGCTTCGGCGTCGCATTTATTATGTGTCACTGCTGACCCATCATGTTTATTATGTGTTTATTTAATAGTCAAAACAGCTTTATTTCACCTGGGCAGCACGGTGCCATCCATCCATCCATCCATCCATCCA